ATCTGCTTTCTTTTATTCTTGATTTCTGCCTGTATTTGGAGAAGATGGTCTTCCTCTTTTTCTTGACTAGAATCACGAAGACCGAGAACGGTCACCCCAATCAGATTCCTAGAAACTCACATATGAATTCAAGATTCTTGAAATCGTTGAAAGTTCCTGACGAATTTTTATTTTGGGGAGGATTCTCCTCTGGCGGCTTTAGGTTTTTCTCTCTCTCTAGGGGTGGCTTGTAAACAATCATCTCACTTCTTTGCACTTTAGCTTTCTTCGTATATATGATGCGACCGCCTTTTGCTCTATTCTGCTTGTTTTGGGGCCAGTTACCTGTTTTGCCTGACCTTCTTTAGGCACAATCGAAGTTGCCCAACTCGGGTTTTGGGGCTGACTCCTGTCTCTACTGACCCTTCTTGGAAGTTGGCCTTTATCCCGGTAATTGCATGATTTGGGAGCCCTGGGACGACCTCGAGGTCTGACCTGGGTCTCATGTTGTCAAGTTTATTTCTTATCACTTTTGTCCTTATAGTTTTGGTCTTGATTTCCCGGTCAAGGTTGCTTTCCATGGGTTCTTAATTTCTGAACCAATTTGGAGAGCTTTACCAATTCTAACCCCTAAGTTCTTATTGTCTGAACCAGAATAGGGTGGGTTTCATTCGCTTAGGTAACTTAGACCTTAGTGACAAACCTCTTTAATTGGTGAGGCCTGGTGGCCTCTCTGGTGCAAAGTTAATTCCTTTAGTTCATCCTTTAGCCTTTGTAAATCAGTTTTGTCCTTGAAAAAAGCCATCTTTTCCTGTTTGAAGAAATTTGATTTTGTTTATAAGGCTGTTTGACCTTGAAAAAGGTCGTTTATTCCCGCTCTCGTCTTATGATAAAACTAAGTTGAGCTTCTAGAAATTGGATGAGTCTGAAATTTTGACTTTGACTTTTGCGAGTACCAAAATTAGGCGTAGCCCCCCCCATTGGCGGTTTAAGAACCTTCACAATTTTATAAGGACATTTGTGAAAGAAAACAAACTTTATTGAATAAACTTTAAATCAGGATTACAAACCTACTGGTAGAATTTCATCAAGTGTTCCGAATTCCACACTCTTTCTATCAGCTTTCCTTTGGGAGTACTCAACTTGTAAGTCCCGGGCCCAATGATCCCTTTGATTTAGTAAGACCCTTCCCAATTTTTGGCAAACTTTCCACCTTCCAAGGGTTTGCTTGCAGACCTCCTTCTTAGAACTAGGTCTCCGACCTGAAATAGTCTCGGTCTGACTCTCGCATCGTGGTATTCTTTGACCTGCCTTCTGTAGTTTTCAGCTCTGATGAACGCATTGTCCCTCCTTTCCTCGATTAGATGTAGCTCTGCTCTAAGCATGTCCTTGTTATTCTTAGGGTCATAATCCTCAACCCTTTTGCTTGGGACCAATGTTTCTAAGGGTGCTCGAGCTTCAAATCCGTAAGTCAAGGCAAAGGGAGTCTCACTAGTAGCTTTCCTTGGGGTAGTTCGGTACGCCCAAAGTATGGTATTGAGTTCATTTACCCAAGTTGTTCCCATTGACTCCAACTTCCTTTTGAGGCCGTTGACAATAGTTCTGTTGGCATTCTCCACTTGTCCATTGCATTGGGGGTAAGCAACAAATGCTCTGCTGGCCTCCACTCCCCATTGTTTGCAGAAGTCCTTGAATGGCTCAGAGTCAAACTGCTTCCCATTGTCAGTAATAACTTGCATGGGAACGCCAAATCGGTAAAATATATTTCTCCAGACGAACCTTTTGCATTGTTCCGCAGTGATGGTGGCCATTGGTTCAGCCTCAATCCACTTTGTGAAATAATCAATTGCCACTATTACGAACTTCCGACTTCCTGAGCCCGGAGGGAAGGGCCCAACAAGATCTATTCCCCACCTGGAGAAGGGAATTGCACTGCTGATGGGATGATACAGTGTGGCAGGTCTGCCGGGGTTTGTTTGAAACTTCTGGCAAACCCCACATCTTTGTGTAAAGTCCACGCAATCTCTTATCATTGTAGGCCAGAAATATCCTTGCAAAAGAGCTTTTCTACTTAAGGTAAACGCACCTTGATGGGATGAGCAGGCCCTCTCATGTAATTCTTCGATTACTTGTTGCACCTGTTCTGGCCTTAAACATTTGAGTAGCACGCCATTGTAGCTTCTTTTGTAAAGTTTGCCATTTTCAATGACATAGTTTGGAGCTCATCTCTTGATCAATTTTGCCTTCTCCTCGTCTGAAGCCAGTGTTTCGGCTTCCTTATATTCCATCAATTCAACCCAGGATTTTTGCCTTTGTTCGACATGAAAGATCTCCAGGTCTTTTGTGATCTCGATGCTGGGTTTATCCAGCTCTTGTATTGGGCTATGCGCATGGGCGGATCCAGGATTTCATGTTGGGCTGGGCTGAAACACTTAATAAATAATAATACATTGAAAATTTTCAAAATAAACAAAAAATCAAATATAAGAGTTCTCCATTGAATTCGTTCTCAACGAGGCTTTGAAACAAAACGAACCAATCAACAATAGAGTCTACATCTATACTAAGAGTAATGTCTTTTTCAGTATAAAGTCATCATCCATTTTGTTGAGGAGTGCGGCCTTTAGAAGTTTCATGGCATAAAACGAGCGTTCTAATTTTGCAAAAGAACACTAAGTTCAATAAAAGGAAATTCAATCTACTCATCATAACATATGAATCAGATTTTCTGCTCTTAGTCAACTCCTCACATAATTCAACAAATGTAGATACTAAAACTTTGTACATGAATACATCATGAACATAGTGTTGCAGCTCGAATTCCAAAGCATGAATGTCCTGACTACTAAAATTTTCGGGATAGAAATTCCTTGCAAGAGTACAAATAACATCGACATTGGATGACCCATATAAATTTTTGGGATCCAATGAAGCACTCAAAGAAAGGAGTTTTACTGATTTATCATTAAATCGGGTCTTTAACTCCATCAATACAAAGTCTATTGCCTCATTGAAAACACCAAAGTGATAATGATGTTCAACTGTAGTTTTTTTCTGCAATGACCAACCGTATATTCAAAATTCAACTTCGGTACATGAATTTCATGTTTTGAGCAAAACTCCTTTACTTCTTCAAGAAAGCCTTCCCATCCGTTTTTTGTCAATTCCTCTAGAATGATCGGTTGTGTAATGGAAAAATGTCTCTCATGGCTAACAAGATATCAAATAAAAAATTTCGAAGACCTTGACAGAATTCATTATTTCCATAACCAAGCATTCCAGCCCAGCTGATTGTGAGGTTACCATGTCTAGTGGGAGGTCTCGAGTTCGAAATTCGCTAGGCACACAAGGGTGCGAAACTCAATGGAGTGAGTTTCAGCGCTGATTACTCCAGGCTCCCCCCAGCCCCCCTTCCCCCAGACCCCCTTGGAGTAAAAAAAAAAGAAAGTAAAGGATCACAAATTCAAAACATGAAAAGTGTTTATGTACACTACGAACTTATGCCCAAGAACTCACTTTTGGGCAATGTTTTTGAAGATACTCAAGCACTTTAAAAGTTGTTGTGAACATGTCAATAAAGTCCTTATATGTATATAAGTGCCAATTATTAAGTATGAGGGTGATGTGTATAACATGTAGATTAGATTTTTAGATGTTAAGATTTTGTATTATGGGCTGGGCTGAGAAATTGGACTGGGCTATAGAAAAATTTGGGATGGGCTGGATGCAATTTTTTAAACATAATACCTTAATAATAATAATTTTTTTTTACTTTGCCCTGGGCTTCAGCCCACCATAGCCCTAACATAGATCCTCCCCTGGCTATGCGCATACGGTGTTCAGGCGCATCTTTGGTTAGTTTTGATAGAATATCTGCCTCGCTGTTTTGGGCTCGGGGAACACATGCTAGATCTGACTCCTCGAACTGTTTGATAAGTTCCAGGGTTGCGTCCCTGTATTTCTGCATTCGTTCTTATTTGGCTTCGTATTCCCCTCTAAGCTCTTTGATGACCAACTTAGAGTCGCTTTTAATCCTCAGTTTTTGTGCTTTGAAGTGGGTTGCTATCCTGAAGCATGACAGCAGGGCCTCGTACTCAGCTTCATTATTGGATAAGTTAAACTTGTATTTGATGGCGTGATAAGTTTTGAAGCCTTCAGGGGTGATGAGGACCACCCCTCCTCCACAACTTTTGGACCCTGATGACGATCCATCAGTCATCAGGGTCCACCAATCTTCTTCTTTGTGTCTCTTCTCTTCAACCAAGTCCCAGGCAGTACATTCAACCAAGAAGTCTGCCAAGGCTTGGGGGCCCCTGGAGTAATCAGGGCTGAAACTCATTCCATTGAGTTTCAAATCCTTATGTGCCTAGCGGATTTCGAATTCGAGACCTCTCACTAGGAATGGTAATCTCACAATCAGCTGGGCTGGAATGCTTGGTTCAAGTTTGCCCCTACTATTTCATCCTTAACTATTGTTAATTACTTTAAATACTTCGCAGTTGTAAGCTCAAGACACACTTTCTAAATGATCCGCTCCTTAAATATTTGGTTTGATGACTCATCAGATGACGTCACTGTGACACTTCCAAAGAGGAGGTCACAAGTTCGGATCCCATCTTAGTTCAAAGATGTTGGCTTTAACAGAACATATACTATAATAGGTTAGAAAGATTTGCCAAAAAAAATGATCCGCTCCTTATATATATATTTATATATAATAAAACATATATTTAATTATATGTATTACCGATCGACCCGATTAATTATAAATTTGAAAAGAGAGGGGCTTCGATAATTATAACTAAAATCGCTGAAGATATATATCGAATTCAAATAGTTGAACTTGTATTCATTTCAACTTGAACTTGTAAAATTATCATTTGGTTAAAAAAACGATCCACCCGGTGTACTAGCGATGGAGCTACTCCATGTATGTGGAACAAATACGAGCGTACGACGCACTGTGTCCATCCGTTTGTTTTGCATTGATTTGTGTTGTTTAATATTGCATGCGTGGGCAGCTGAGGGTCTCATCAATGGGGGAAAAAATATTGGCGGTGAGCCTGACGTGCACCAAAACAAGGGACACTATGATCAAACTTTGTGAGATTTTTGAGTCTTTAGACATCAAAATCATCAGTGCAAACATCACTGCCTTTTCCGCCACCATTCTCAACACTCTTTTCATAGAGGTACGTACCCAATTAGCTCCCTACTAACCATTGATTTATTTAAATAAAATGGATCATCGTGATACAAAGAACCTATAGGAACCTGATTTAAGTGTCACATTTTATTTATTTTTCTAGGCACGACTATATATTACTCTATCATTTCCTTACTATGTGTAGTTTGGTGTGATTATTAAAATTTGGAGTTCAGTCTTAAAAGTTTAACTGATAGTGATGAGTACCACAAGAACTTATATGTTAGTTTATATTTTCATACACAGTCGCTACGAAATGATCTAGTACATACCTGTAAGATAATGACTCATTGGAGCAGATCCTATTTTCCGTGTGCTCGTTTTTTATGCAAATTCTTCGACGAACGAAAGCTTGTTGGTGACAGTATTGGTGACATTGGAAGCCAACAAATTAAATTCAGAAGTCAGTGTTGCAAGATAGCTTGGGACAATTGAAAGTTGATGTCTAAGGGACCGGAGGATGACTAATGTAGCAAGGGAATGATACTAGGAGATCTAGATAAAGTGGGACCCATGTAAATGTCGTGTAACATAAGATAATAGTAAAAGAGTCCAAGTGAAGGCATTATGTTAAGGAAAAAGGGTCAAATAGGCCCTTCAACTATCACAAAACCATCACATTGACCCATCTACTAATAAAAACATCACTTAAACACATTAACTAAATAAAAACAATCAATTTGGCCCTATTTACCGGAAAACAACCTTCTCAACCGGGGTTAAAGTTATATATACTACTCCCTCTGTCCCATTTAAAGGTTCCCGTACACTATTCTCCTGTCAACGTGCATTGTTCTTAATCTCTTACTTTATATATCGAAAGTTTATGAAATTTAAATTATTTTCTGCAGGTTTTGTAGTGGTTTTAATGTAGTTTCTGAATATGTAAATTTTATTTACTAAAAATAATTCTACTGATGACAGGGATCAATTAACTTTATGGTCAGTCAAACATTGTAAATCGTGTGGGAACCTTAAAGTGGGACGAAGGGAGTACGTATTTAACTTTTTTTTCCCGTTTCCCTTTCCGATTCTTTCTTGAGTTCTTTCTGCTAGTCATCTTGTCCCATCCTTCTTTTGTTAAGGAGCATGTAAATCCATGTGGCAGCAAATGAATTTTTTAAAGAAAAAGAATGGTACACGTTTGTCGATTCTCTTTGAAAATATTCATTCTAAACATTTCATTATACTACCTACATATGACTCCATATTATCTACTCTGCCGGAATCTAATTCCGATGTGAAGTGCTGACCAAGTGACATGCATGAAGAAGGATTTGCTGCCACTGTAAGCATTGATGTCACGCCTCAGACCTACCCGGATACGTCAACAACCCGCCGTACAATATGAATAGTCAATCGAGGTCTAACACATCCATACTATACAAGGCGTCTGGATAATCATTCACACATAATACATCCATAAACAAACATAATGTAAAACATTTATTAAAGCGGCAGAAATATTAATACAAGTGTTCGAGCAACACTTGGCTTAACCGACCATGCAAGCCCGTGAATAATTATTCAAAAAATAATATCCATGAGCATTAATCACACTGTTTTCAAAACTGAGATGGAAGAAGCACGAACCACGTCTTCTTCACTGGATCTTCCCGAAGCAACGGGCAATGGTAGCAATCTTCAAGTTCTACCTGAAACTGTGAGGTGGTCTCCCCCGTGAAGGGAGGTCAGTACTTTGAAGCAGTGAAAGTACAATGACAACTATGACGAATATGATTTTCTACAACCCTGGACTTGGGGTGACATTGAGGATTTGGCCGTGACCTTTACCTTTACTATATAGAGCCACACTCATTTGTTTGATTATATAGTGCTAGAGCTCGGCTCTTGTCTCATTACATTATATATTCGCTCGAGCACGACTCAAGTCCTATTATTTTACATTTCTGCTCGAGCACGACTCAAGTCATTTGCTTTACATCCTTGCTCGAGCACGGCTCAAGTCATATTACATTGCACTTTTGCTCGAGCACAGCTCAAGTCATATTGCTTTACATTCTTGCTCGAGCACGGCTCAAGTCGTACTACATTGTTGCTCGAGCTCGACTCAAGTCGTGTTACATCTTTGCTCGAGCTCGGCTCAAGTCATATTACATTTTTACTAGGTTCGATTCATTTTGAGTAGCCCTTGAGGCTTACTCCATATGTAGATTTAGGATTCCTACAAATTCTACCTTAAGGTATCTCTTAAGACTACTTCAAGCATGATACCTAGTAATCCGACCTCGGGTCGATTCCTACATGGTCTCAAACCGACCCCGTAATTCATACATAGTCTACTCCCAAACTTGTATGCTGAGCTCCTGGACAATAGTCCTCTCATTCTTAAGTACCAATAATCATTTATCATCAATAGTCCATAAGCATATATTTAATTTCCTTTAAATCCGACCTCGGGTCGGTTCTACCGAGGTCACCATCTGACCTCGACATTTATACATCTTTTATTCCTAACCTTGTAGGTAATGGCCCGATTACTTATACATAATAGTCTCTTCGTTTTTAGGCATTATTATTCACTAATAAAGCATGAGACAATACATAGTTACCTTTGGTAACCTCTGAAACGAGCTCAACAATTGTAAGGAGTATAGTCACTCATCCTCACCTTAAAGTGTTTGACTAGCTTCCCTCACGAAACCCCCTGTTCCGACCTGGTTTCAGCTGTTGTTCGTGGCCTGTGACAACGAACAGCCCCTTGAATGATGGTTCTTGCTGACCCCGAACTCAAATACGTACTCCTGGGATTTTTGTGCAACTGTATCCGAGCTTGGGCTGCTGCGAGATATTCTTTTTTCCAGAGTATCCTTCCTCTCTTTTCTTCTGCCTTCGTTGTGTGAGTGATTGCAGTTTATAAAAGGGGATATGACTCCAATGGTATCTCTCACCAATCAAGTTTTGATATTGCTATGTACAACCTGTAGACTTCGTCTGCAGGTTTGGAATTATCCACCAACCCTTGATAATTGAGTATGGGTTGCAGACATACTGCGTGTAGCCTTTGTCCCATTCATTTATTACGTTTGACTTGCACGCATTGAGTTGCCTTTTGGTTTGTCATCTTTTGTTGATTGAGGTTCAATAATTGGTATATAGGCTGTCGGCTTTGTCTTTAGCTTTGGCTTTATTCACCCACTCTAATAATAGTTTTCTCAAACATCTCCTTCTTAATCTGTATGCAATGTTCGTCCTTACATACTCCTAGGTATCAAAAGGACTTCACGGAATAGTTAAGTGCCAGCCTTTTGGCAGAGTCCGGCCTTGACCTTGAGGTCAGAAAATACCGAGCTCGGAAATCGTCTAGATAAGACAAACTGAGAACCCGACCTCGACCTCCCTAGAGGTCGGGAAATTACCGATCCCGACCTCGACATCCTTAGATCGTGGAATCATTGATAAGGCGACTTAAGGGCCCAACCTCGATTCCACTGCAGATCACCTAATCAATCAATCCAATCCACTTTTTATTCATCCTAATGAAAATCCTACACTAGTTCTTGTTCTAGTTCTTTTCACCGAGAAGAACTTCCATTCATGGCTTCATCAGATGATTGTTATGTTAGAATCCAAAAACAAAGACAAGTTTGTTGATGGTTCATATCCTTCACCTCCTGTCAACGATCCATTGCATGAACCATGGAGAAGATGCAATCACATGGTTATGGCTTGGTTGATGAGATCAATGACTCCCTCAATTGCAGAATCTGTCATTGTAACACTTGAGATTTAATATAAATGAATTAATAGTACTACTCATACCAACAGAGGTGCATCTCCTTTTAAGGGAGCTCATCACCCAAGAACTCCAAAGTTAAGCGTGCTTGCACGGGAGTAGTCTTGGGATGGGTGACCCCCTGGGAAGTTTCTCAGGGCGCGCATGAGTGAGGACAAAGTGCACGGTAAAGGCTCGTGGTGGTTTGTGGGGACAGTACTAGAGGTCTGGAGGGTGTGTAGGAGTAACTACCTCGGGTCCTGCGGGTCAGGGTGTTACAGTCATATATTTCGACACAGCTGCATAGATTTGGACTGATCTATCTAACAGATTCTCCCATGAAATTCAACAAGTTCGTCAAGGTTCATCTTCTGTTACTTAATACCTTACAAAATTACTGACATTATGGAAAGAATTGGGACAATTTTGAACTCCTCTAGTCTGTAAGTGCTCAACACCCTGCTCTTGTGGAGTTCTTAAGAAAATCACCAAAGAAAGAGAAGATGAAAACATTATCAAGTTCCTACGTGGCATAAATGATGAATTTGCTCAAACTAGATCTCAGATCATGCTGATCAATCCAGCTCCTACAATAACTAGAGTATTTTCTCTGATTTTACAACAAGAAAGAGAGTTTGGATCCTCACTTCCTCTTAACACGATTACTGCCACTTCATTAAATGTTTCAACTCAAAATCAGCCTAAACATAATTCATCTAATCAAGGAAATTTATCTACTTATCGTGGCAATTCTTCAAACAATCGTGGTGGTGGAAGAAATTCTTCCACAGGAAGAGGCATGCAGGGGAAACCATTTTTGTGATCTATGTGGAAGAACAAATCATACCAGAGATACTTGTTTTCAGATCTATGGATATCCTCCTGGATATAAGTCTAAATACAATACCAATTCCAACACCTCTTCTGCTAACTTGGCTTCTATTGACTCCAATGAAAGCTCATAGTCACAATGCTCTTAAGTTAATCTACCTCAAGACCATTATACTTTTTCCGAGGAGCAATATCAGGGAATCATGGCTCTTCTTCGGCAAACTGACTTGCAAGTTGCTTCTCATTATGTCAATCAGACTAACACCACTCCCTTAATTCTTCCTGGTAACTCTCTGAATTCTTTCTTTTGGATCATGGATAGTGGTGCTACTGACCATATTTGTAAATCAAAAACCCTTTTCTCATTCTTAACTCCAATTATGCCCATTCATATTAATCTTCCAAATGGCTCTTTTGTT